GCACACTTTTTAGACTGTTGTGAACTTCGAACTTTTAGATAAAACTTATTGATCATTGGCTATTGTTTTAAGCTGGCCAGATACCACTTTTTAAATCTAAGTTTCTGATTGTTCACTAAATTGCCATCAAGTAGATATACACCCTCCCATTGACACACTCACATCTAGCTGTTCTCTTGATTTTATCTTCTTCTTCTTCTTCTTATGCTGCATTTGACCCTGTTTATATTTCTCCTCTAACTCATTTCTACTCTTATGCAGACTCTTTACAGTTGGTAATGATAGGTTACCTGTACAGGTAATCAGGGTATGCAAGGTTTAATTATAGACTCTGTATTGTGTTTAGCACAGTGTCAGACAATCTAGAGTTCAGTACTCCTAGGTAATATATATGAAATATAGGCTATTGAGGATAGCTGATTAGATATAATTTCTCTTAAATGTCATCCACTTGTGTTTGCCTGTGAGTTTTGCTGAGTAAATTACTACTTTGCCGACAGCCCCCTCCCATCCGGTTACATCCGTTATTTTCCATTCATTTAATTGAAACCCCTATTTATATATGTTATATATTATATATATAGTGTTTTTTTTTAATTTAGTTTATAATGTGCTTTGTTACTATTGTTCTGGGAATTATTTGTGTTTATTCTTATGAAAAATATAGATATACTTTCTTAGTAAGCTTGCATATGATCTATTGTAGAAATGTTTGTGTTAGTAATACTCTATTAACCATTGTATTTAATAAAGTCTGAAGGAAAAACTTAAAAGGTTCATTGCGTAGAGATTGCTGCAACACTTAATTACAATTTAAAGGGTGTTTTGTCATTCTGTTTCCTTCAGGTGTTTCAATTAGTCTGTTACTATTATCTTTGCACCAGAACATGTATTTTCTTTGCCAGAGATAGTGCTGTCTGCCTGGCTGAGATGTATGGACTGATACAGTGTTTGCAGATCCTTTTTCAATTTCTTTATTATTGTTTCTGCTTTAGAATCATCTCATCTCACTGAGATAGTTGTGACATGAGCTGTACCTGCTACCACTGTCAATTTTACCACCACCAATCCCACCATCATCATCATTTCCATTACCATTAATCAACCAAGTACTAGTGTACAGGCTAGTGTTGTGATTGCTTCCACTGCCACAAGGCAAAGGATGGGACCTAGTGTTCTGCACTGAAGAAAAGTTTATGATCAATGCAAAGCACAATTTGTGAAGCAAAGAAAAGTGAGTGAGGGAAGAAGCAGAGCATGAAAATACTGGAGCAGGCAGCAGGTCCACTGGTACTGTATCTCATTCTGCAATACCTCCTCCACTTATACTATCCCTTTTAGGAAGAGCAGGGGACGGTGAGGATAGTGCCAGTAGTCAACAGAGGCTGGTTGAACAGGGACAGTTGAATTCTTCATTATTCAGTGAATAAAAAATAAAAAACATAGAAAAAAAGAAGTTTATCTTGCCTAGCTGCTACTGCTAGTGTCGCTTAAAATCACTTTGATTCCAGTGGCGGCTGGTGACAGTTAAAGTTGGTGGATTTGGCTCTGCCATAAATGGTTTTAATCATGAATAGGAATGTAAAGAGAAAAATAACAGTTTGTGTGAATAAAGTGACGCCTTTTCTTTTTGTGCACATGAAAGCAACTGCGATTGTGGTATATTTGCATGCCGGCGCGAACGCGAGAATGTGCCAACACGAGCGAGGATAACACGTGGGAAGAGGAAGGGGAGGAGTGGGAGCTGATGCACGATAGCAGGGACAGGCAGAAGAGGAGTAGAGCACTTGTAAAATAGGAGAAAGAAAATTTATAGGCAGGAGAAGGAGAGAATTGTTGTTGGCTAATAATAATAATAAGTAGTGGGCTAACTATCTCAGAATTACTTTTGGACATTGCCATAAGGAAGGTAAAAGAAAAGAATAAAAAAAAAAGAGATAAAAAGGAAGAAAAATAAAGAAAAGGGGATAAACTAAAGGAGGAGAGAAAGCAGTGTTTAGAGTGGCTCATGTTTTGGCAAGTTAAGTTTTGTTATCTTATAAAATAAAAGAAAGAAAGAAGTAAAGGAAGGAGAAGGAGAGAATAAAGAGAAAGGGTAAAAGAAACCCCTGATATAACGATATAATATAAGGAGGTGAAGAAGAAGAAGGCAGGAAAAGTAGAAAAAAAGGGGAGTTTCTTTTTATGGTGACACGTAATAAAAATTGGCAGCTAATACACCATTGTTTTCCTTACAAAAATTGAACCGGATATTAGCCTCAAGGATCTCATTAATCACCAGTTAAAAGTAATTTCAATTAATGTTATTGTTTTCACATTTAACTTCATAGCGTTAAAAACATTATAAACATGCATAAAGTAGAAATAAAAAGATAAATTTAAGTAAATATTTTTTATTTTTTTAAAAAAACCTTCCCTTCTAAAAATTATTTCTCACTTGTGCTAAAAAATTTGAGGTACTGCAGCACTGGTGGGCGGTAAGGAAATGTTACCATTAAGAAAGATGCATTAGTGGGCAATAGGTATAAAAAGAGGGTAGTATAAAGTATTGTTTAAAGGGGTAAATCAAAGAGAAAAACCCACTAGAAAGACCTTTAAAAGTGGAGCGCTAAATGTACTTAGCCCTAAGTAGGGGTTTATATATTCCCAGTACAATGGTATACATGAAAGAAAAAAGACAAAAATATCCAATGGTGAAGTATGTTATATAAGGTGTACAAAGTGAGTAGACAGTTGCAATTTAAACTCACAAATAAAGAGCCAACTATAGGACTGGCTTGGATCACATTCACTGTGGTGTATGTAAGGTGTGATGAAATGCCTTTTGTCCCTGGATTGTTAGGTGACAAGCTGCCCTTTGCCCCCGGCTTTTGGAGGAGCCTGATTGCCAGCCTCCTTCCTCATGACTATGGCCCTGGGGTGTATTGCCATTTAAAAAGACTATTTGGGGCTTATTGGCTTCTAAAGACAGTTTCTTCCCATTTGAATCCATGGGAAGGTGTGTTTCTTCCCCTCCCCCGTTTCCTGTCTATTGTTCTCCAGCAGGGCGTTGTCCCAGGCACACTGCCAAACCAGTTGGAACTGACTGTTTATGTCCCTCCTTGGTTTCTCATCAGCCCTTGCTATGCTTTACCCCGTGGAAAATCTACTCTGTTCATGGGATCTGAGCGCTGTTCGCCTAGATTGGGCGCTCAGATCCGAGCTATCTGGGGATAGGTTAAATGTGGGGGTTCTGTGTAATAAAATAAGAATTATGTATTTTTATGTACTTTTACGTATTTTTGCTGTTAGTGTAAAATGTAGATATTTTCTGTACCTGGAGATAATTGAGTTTACTGCAGTGCCTTAAGCCAATTATCTCCAGGATGGAGAGGAGGGGTTTCATTGTGTATGTGAGAGTGTTATTATGTTAATTAGTGTTCCCATTGGTTTGTGTCCCTTTTGTCACAGTTTACCACCAGGTCCAGGGGGTGTGCCTCTGACCTGAAAACTTGTATATAAGGAGTAATAAACGCTCATTGGAGTCAGATCATCTTGTACCTTCATGAAGTTTCGGCTCATGTTTGGGGGATTGGAGAAACTACACTCTGGGGATTGCTATAATCACTATACTCCCCAGGGTATAATCACTAAGCTCTGCTAAGAGCTTGTTCCTGTTCCTGCTCTCTGGAATTCGGAGAGAGGTCGACCTGCTGGAAGCTGGAACCTGGTCCTGGGTCCAGAGTGGGTGGAGACGGCGAGACCCCAACCAAGCTGCGGCGGTTCGTGGGGTCTGCAGTGGTTATGGTGTCAGGCAGAGTGCTTGGAGTCCTCGGAAAGCACTAGGAGCATCCGTTGGCGGAAGGTACCCGGTTGGGGTGCCAGCGGTTCTGTCACATAAGGGAACACCTTTCTTCTTTATCATTCTTTCTTGATAGCTCAAAGAGATAAAGCACATAGGGAAGGATATCTTCCTAGTGAAGCATGTATTGGCAAAAGGTCAAGCACACAAATATTAATAGGTATATTGCTCACCTGATCCAGAGCCTATTAAGCCTGGCTCTAGGAAAGATCGCTTGTTACCCACTAAGGGGGGTAAGCCTTCTTTAGGGATGGATGGATGCAGCAGCACGGTATATTCAAAAGATCCAGATGATCTTATTTATTAAAAAAAATAGATAAAATAACATTAAATAAATGTAAAAACAGTAATAAAAAGTCCTTGCACTTGCCGACCTATTCGAGACGCGTTTCACCCCTTTCGCAGGCTTTTTCAATCAAAGTAATCCATCCATTTAACCTCTTTGTCTTTATATCCCCAGATGTGGTCTTATTCGTTTGTTTAAAATGATATTGTCCTATCCGAT